AGGGTATTCCAGAGTAAGGAAATACTTTTGACAGTAGGATGAGAGAATATTTTTGGCAATGTCCCTGAGGCGGGAAATTGGACAGTTGAGAAATGAAGTAACTTCAAATTAGGTTGTATTTGAGAGGTGAGATGGGAATGTAGACTCAAGCCAAAGAGAGAAAATTTTACCAATTCTATAGACACTTTGTAAGTGGTGGGTGGGGGTGAGGGGTAGTAAGGATATTGATTGGGGGAAGATGTATTGTAGAGGTAAAATTACATTAATATTTGTTCACTGTTAACATATGAGGGGTGAGAGAGGACTCACAGATAGGTTAAATGATTTGGCCTAGGAGCGTGGGTTGTGGAATGTGAAGATCGAAGACTTGATTGAGTTCGTATTCACTTAGAAATATACTGATTTTATTTATTAAGGGAAAATATTCTTGGATAAGAATATTTATTGTTAAAGAGATTAGAAAAAAAATCTCAGCTAACTAGCTCTTCTACTGTAGTCCACAATTGGTTATTATTAATCTCCCTCTTTGAGTGCATCATCCTTTCCTTGCTATGAGCTCAAAAATATAAATCTTTTAAAAATGCACTGTAGTTTTCATCATAGATTTCTAATACTATTTTTATGGGAGCCCTTCTTATATTATTTTTCATTCTACAGAAATTTGTTTTCACACTTTATTGTACTGATAAAGTACAATGAAGTTCCTGTATCTCTTTAAGTAAACATTCACTTATTTAAAATGCCCTCTAACTTTTATAGCGACCATATTTAGATTTTTATATAAACACTACACATAATTGGCCCAAAATATGAGTCTTTCAATTAAGGATAAACTATTTAGGTAATATGCTTTCTTTTGGTACATTTAGTCAATCTTTTCTGTGCCTAGATGCTAGAAGACTGGGCTTTAGTGTTCTTACTAACATTATTTTTTCTTACTTAATCCTAAATATAGCAAATCAGATGTTGATACTCTGATTCAGTCTCCTTCTTATCTAAATGGCATTTCTTCCTTTTAACCTGACCTCATGGTCTCATCCTCAATGCCAAAATAGGCAGAGCTTATTTTTTCTTTTTTTAATAATAAAACTCAGTGCCCGATAAGGGTTTGTCAAGAGGGACAGCCTCAGTGATGATTAGGAGAGTAGTTTAGTTGTGTGTTTTGAGATCCCTAAAACTCACACCCACCCTGTAACTCATTCATTTTGTTGCTAGAAATTTTTTCTAGGAGATAATCAGAGATGCAGACAAGGCTATTTGTTTTAGCATTATTTATAACAATGAAAAATGGACACAGTTTAAGACTCCAACAATCAGGGTGGAGTAAATGAATTATACCATATAATCACATGAAAATATTATGCTTTCTTTAAGTAATGATGCTGCCGAAGTTATACAAAAATGTTTATTCAGAAATGTTAAAAGTAGGTTTAAAAAGTATATACATGCTTTAACTATGTATGTTTGAAGAGAAAATACTGGGAGAACTTACACCAGTGCCATCAGTGGTTAACTCTGGTTAGTGGAGTTATAGATTTTTATTTTTCTTATATTTCCTATATTTCTACATTTTCTATAATAAGTATACAATTAGAAAAGTCAACACTAAGTTATATTAAGGGATAAAAAAGGAAAAAAGCACTTCAGATATCAGAACATTCCTGCACACATCAACCATATTGTCCAAACCACCAGGGGTGTACTAATTCAAGTCAGCTGATCTTGTGACCATAGCATTAATAATAGCCTTTCCAAATAGGTTTATGTGATGTCCTTTAATTTTGTCAGGATTTAGATTGGGTCTACCTATTTAGTGAACAAAAAAATGTATGTTGGGATCCTATTTAAATTGTAGCTTCCTGGGTCTTACCCCTAGAAAGTAATTCATCTATGGATAGGACCAGTAATCCACATTTTTAATAAACTCTCAGGGTGATTTATCTGCTGCTGGTGGTCAGCCTGCCACACTTTGAGAAACTCTCATAGTTGTACCTTCTTTAAATGTAAGCTTTAAGTTTTCTTTTACCTGGACTCTGGCCTGCCTGGGTGTGGGAGGTTTAACACTGAGAGACCAGGGCTTCATGGCCCACTGTTTTCCTGGATGCTTATTAGAACCACCTGTGGGGCTTTTAAACCGCTGCAGATGCCCAGATCCCATGTCAGAACCTGCTGTCTCAGATTGACTAGGAGTGAGATATGGGCATGAGAAATTTTAATGAGCACCACAGGCTATTTAGAACTGAAATCTAGTAAACCAATTGGAGTAGAACACGGTTTTGCTCAGGCTTGTTTCTTTTAAGCTGTACTGATATGTGTTAATGAAGATAGTGTGGCCTGGGATAGTGGTCAGCTGCCCAAATGTTATTGGGCTCCCAATGTTTCTATACCATTGATGCTGCCAAGTTCATTTTGTATTTTCTTGATAACTCTGGTTTCACTACATAGCTTTTACCTCTAGATGGCAGCAAAGACTGGTTATTTTATTAGGATAACCCTAAATCTTAAAAAAAAAAAAAAAACTATTTTTTTTTTCTTGTCGAATTTTACACTTGGACATGTTTCAGTAAATGAGGTATGGACCTTTAAAATGTGTCATCTCTTGGATCATTTTTATAGAACATTATGTCAAATAGCTCCAAGAAAATTTTATCCAAATTTGGAGTGCATCTTGAAAGAGGACTCCATGCATATGGCCCTTTTAAGACCACACAGTGAATGTTCTACTCAGAGTTGGAGACTCCTGGGTTTCATCAGAAAGCAGATGTCTTGGAGTAGATTAAGGAAGTTGGAAAGCTCATTCATAGTAGAAAAGATTTTTTAAAAATGTTTAACTCAGTTCAACATGGAGATTGAGATTTGGAATGGATTACAAGTCTGAAGGATGCTGAGTTCAATAAGGCAGAGGCACTGGTTCTGTGTGGGGAGCAGTAGAAAGAAAAGGAGTATGTTTGTGGAATGTATTCATTAAATTCTTAAAATGTTAGCTTATTTGGTTCATAGGTTCTGAAAAGAACCAAGCTATCTACAAGGCTTTCTCATTCCAGCAGGTCATTAGATGACAGTGAATTTTAGTGACCAGGGGAAGCATAGAGAGGTGAGGATGTTTTCAGTTTCATTTGAAGTCTTAGTTCTATAGCCCGATTTTTACTTGCTCCTTGTGCTCTTTCACATTATCATGGAGGGCAAACATCTGAAAATATACTTGAACAAAGTCGGCATTTATGGTAAAGTTATCAGATCCTAGTTAGACAGCTGGAGTCAGGATGTTTCCTTTTCTCTAAATGAAATTAGATGTGTAAATGCTTTGAACTTTTTGGAGATGTACTGGCAACATATTGTGTAAGAAAGCAGTGTTCCTTCAGTAGTGTTCCTGTCTCCAGGGATTGCGGGGCCCTCATTACAACTTTAGCTCTAGAGGTTGAAAGGCTCAAGACTCCTAAAGACCTTGAATCGTTTTGATTTGAGGTCACTGGAGTGATGCAGAGGAGGGGGCTGATTCAGGGCTGCCTGACTCCCTCAGGGACCCAGCTGTGGAATGTTTGGTCAAGGCTGGGTGTTATCAGAATGACAGTGTTTTGTATTTTTGTTTTTGTCTCTGTGTAATGGGAAAGTGCCTAAGTAATGATGATAGATATGGTGATGAAAAAGAAATGCTAAACTGGAGGAAAAATATCTTTGAAATATTATTGCCTTCTTTTGTATTGTTTAGTAAGTCACTGCTAATTTGTAAAAAAAAAAAAAGAAATAACAGATAATGAATCTGGCAGACAGCCCAGTTTCATATGCTGCTTGGCTTTTTTCTCTCGATTTTCTTAGAATTTTCTCATTATACAGTAAAAGTTTATCACTACAGATTTTATAGTTTTATATGGCAAGAGATCCTTCAGAAGGAAACTGCAGTTTGATTAGCTCATTCCCATTAACCTCCTGTGAGAGAACATTTGGTTTTAAATATCGTTGCAGTGCTATAATTTATATTAAAGAGTTGTCTAGTTTCTGAGGTGAAGGTTAGAGGAAATTGATGCCCTTATTTTCTAATGTAACATGGTTTGTGATTGTTCCTAGTCACCTCCCAGTCTCTCCGTGGTAATTACACCATGGGCGGTGAGGGAAATCCAAAAATAAATGTTGAAATACAGTTTTGAAAAATCCTTAACCCCAGTTGCTTCCATTTTGTGCCCAGACACATAACATCACATGTAGAAATAGTATGTTAAAATAAAAGATACAGACCTTAAAATGTTGTCTTTCTTGTTTATCGCCTCCCCTCACTCTGCCTTTTTTTTTTTTATCTGTAAGGTTTTTCATCTTAGCTTTTTTCTTTTTCTTTTTTTGGGGTTCTCATACTCCTCCCCCTATCTTCTTTCTCATTTCTTCATTTGCACTCATTTAATTATTTTTAATCATTTGAAAGCTCATATTTTACAATAGCCTTGGCTTAGTGGCTAGGGTACTACTGACTGTGAAGCCAAATAGACTTGGGCCTCCACTCTGGTTCTGGCACCAACTAGTTGTGTGTCCTTGAATAAGCCAATTAGCCTGTGCAGATCTGTT